AAAACCCCCCCCCCCCCCCCTTCTTAGACTGTTGTACCTGAAACAGTTGTCCGTCCATTGGAAGATTTCCCCTTCTTGTTCAGGGGACAACTCTAAAATGTTGGATTTCCCCTCACTTTAGTTGTTGGTGTAGTCACCAGTACAAATAGAGAAGTAAATCTGGCCAACTCGGACAGCAATACAAACTTGACAGAAGGGCTAACTCTTTCCCACTCTATCCAGAACTAAAAAAAAAGTTTTGCCTGGAGATAGACTTTAACTAGCATTGTGTGAAAGAAGAACTCTGGGCAAATTAAAAATTACCCTTGCAGTGGGTTTTGCTTTAGGGGGCTGGAATAAGGCAGCTTTACTTACATGATTGGGCCTTCCTCTTGGAAGCTAGACCAGTCCTCGCAGCCTCTTCTCCCCTGGGTCTAAAAAACGCTGGCATCATCACGTCTTATGCAGCTCCATTGACCAGCATTAGACATGAGGACAATTCCACAGTCAGAAAGGAGGGGCAGAGGGGTAAGCACTGACCACCACGGGAGCTGGGATCAGGTAAGGAATCTAGCTTTATTCCAGCCCCTAGACCAAAAGAAGCAGGTAACCATTGCAGTGTGTGCTGGCTATGTGTTTAGATGAAACACTGAGATCTAGGAATGCTGAATTACATTTTACTTGCTTATAACAACATTACATCTGAATACAGCATTGTAGAAAGGAAACATACTGTATATACAGATAGAACTTCCTGTATATATCATAAACAAGTATGCACAAGCACAGAGACAAACACCGCACACCACACTGCAGCGCCATCTACAGCTCAAAAGACAATATTACATCTCTGAATGCCAGTAATACAATCAGTATGCTGTTGCATTTCCAACAGTGTGGGGGTAGTGCCATTGCAAGGGTAAGTTTTTACCCAGACCCTCGTGTGCCAGTTACTTCACCTCTGATTCACTTTAAAACTGCTTTCTAAATACAATTTATATTTTACACTACTAGCATCACTAATGTAAAAATATGTAACATTCACCTTCATCCTTTCCATTCCATGGTGCAAACAAACTCTCACCAATCAGATAATGCATGTACATCTGACCGTCCTCTGATGTCTATGGACAGCTATGGCCAAGGCACATATCTTATATGATAGTGTACGTTTGCAGGTTAGATATGTGATAAATAGCTATAAATGAAATGGAGAACACACAGAAACATGCACTTGGATCCTCTTTATTAGAACCTGAATTTGTGCTTCCTATCTTAAAATATTCTTACATATCAATTAGTTTAATAACCAGCAGCCTTTGCTTCTTTCCTTGTATCTGAAAATGCAAATAAACATCCATCCTCTTGGGATACTCCTTGAACCACATTTAGGGCAAATGAAAAGTTCTCAAATGTATGTCCTCTTTCATGCAGTCCTTGCTGCACTGCCTGAAACAATGACAGAAATATCAGTGATGAAGTAAATACATTTTTATTTGGAACATAAGCCTAACATTGGTAGTTTTGTTTTTCAGGTACCCCCCCCCAACAGGCACAGATCTGCTACATCACTTGACACCTATTAAAGTCATTTTTCCCCCAACCACCTACCAACGTA